AATGTTTGGGAAGGGGAGTGATTTGGGACAATGGTGGATTGGAGCAATTGTCTCCGTTTCAGTTCATTCATACTTGTCCCAATTCACCCCATTTTACAGCACCATACATTACTAGTAGATTTAAAATTTTTTTATTTAGGTGCTAAAATAGGAAGAATAAATGAGCAATAAAAATCTGTTAGCTCTGGTACCATTTTCTTCCCCCGGAGACTAATGTCTCGATGCAATCTTTGGACATGGACATGAATGTCAGTGTTAGTATAAATGACAACGTCAAACCAGGGCAGTCCTAAAATGTTCATTGTCCCTTGGCACTGGTAGAAATATTCATGTTTGTCCTGCAGCTTGAGGCCAGAGGTACTACAGTATTACCTTCCCCAACAATGCCATCAAGACTGCAGCCAAGCTATGGCCATCTTGGACTTACCACTAGACCACAGTTTTTCACTTCCAAATTTTCTTTATTCTCAAGTTTTTGTATTCTTCTACAGCATTGGACTCATTCTAAATACCCCAATGTAGAGAAACTGGCATACGAGAACTGTGGCATTTAGTTCTCTCAGTGATAGTTCTTACAATCGAATTTGGTTCATCTGTCTTTCGCCTACTCATCACCTTCCCGAATACAGATGCAGTTATATACGAACTGATCTCTCAACATACCATTGTGCACTGGAACTTTGGTCTATAGTTTTTAAGCAGATGTCCTTAGCTTGATCAGGTGTTACAAGCACTAAGGTTTCCATTTGTTTCTTTTCATCCGAACCCAATTTAACAGTCTGGTCAAACTCACATGGTACAGAGGTAAAAATTTTATCAACCAATAGCTTGTCAGTATTTGGATCGACTGTTTCTAGATCCAACTTAGACTTTGTCCTCTTACCCTTGGCACAGGATGTTTCAAACATATCACATGGCTCATAATTGTTTGATTCAATTGTGTCACAAAGTACTGAAGCTCTTTCAGCTTCCCTAAGTACATTCGCCATTGATTGTATATCGTCTTTGGTGACAGTCTGGGCATTAGGTGGTGTGCTACAATACTTCTCTCTGATAGTACTTGAATGTATTTTTGTGTTGATCTTGTTGTATTGTGCTTTCCGAAACAACAGTTCGTCAAACTTAACAGCTTTATTCAATGTTTTACGGCAGCCAGAAGGAATACTCCACTTTTGAGCGACTTGTGTACACGTAAGGTTTTCAGGAATCATACTTAAACTCAAGTTAATAAAATCCAACAGAGTGTAAAGCAAAGCAGCAACGTGTTTACAACAGCCACCTTGCCCTGCTTTACAAGTGCACTTTGCATACTCGACCTCGCCACTCTTCTGGTCTAAATGAACATAAACAGGGTAACTTACACCCTTCATGGATGCACTAACTCAAGCTTTAACCAAAATTAGTTGAATTTTACATTGGATGTTTGCCTTGTCTTGAACATTATTGACATAACCTTCTTTCCAAAGACCGTATCCTTTCTTCATGTTCCTACGAGCCTTTGGGGCTACTGTGTCAGGCATTGTGCGGCTGTTATTCACCATTTTATTTTCTAATTTTTGGTGGATAAACGGAGGAATATCTTGCAGTAATTTTGTCCATCCTTTGGTTTCGCTGTGCGGAAAACTTGCTCCATCGTCGTCTAAATCAACTTCGTCTTTGTCTAGTCTGAACATATTAACAACAGGCGATATCGGTCGGACTTCAGCGGACTCACAACGGCATACAACCGTTCCAGAGGCTCCCATTTTTGCTTGAACATCACCTTGACTACCCGTACCAGAGTTCTTAGAAGAACTAGGGTCACCAAGAGTGATTTCATTACCAAAAAATGCACATGAAGTATCGGTATTTCCAGCGAACAAGCACGCCATTTTTGTTGTTTAGAATTTATGGAATTTGACTACTAAGACCAAAATTCAGCGCGCGCGTTACGTTTATGACGTCATTAGGCGTAAGTTCTATTGTCTGCATTTGGTTTTAACGAAAACTAGATGCCACCCAAAAATGGCGAATATTGGTCTTGGCGAGAAAAGCTAATTGCTTTCAACAACTTTAAATATTCAACAAATGATGCCCTTGATTGTTAAATCCATAAATTTCTATCCAAAAAGCCGAAATAATATTTAATATAATATAAAAAACGTTTCAAAAATGCAAAACTGTGCGCGCGGCCTGGGACCAAGGAAATAATTGTGGGGGAGGGGGTACATTTTACTCACATGGATTTTTTTTGGGGGTACAATTTTTAAAACGTTAAATTTAGGGGGGGGGGTACATTTCTTGATAAACTCCCTGAAAAAATAAACGCCAGCCCCCCTTGGCCATAATTAGCGAACTGTCTCATAGTCTGAAATGTTTTTAAGCAGTGTTGCATTGTCTTCTGATGATCTGCGTGGCACAGCATAAGATATTCCGGATGAATTATACGGCATGCGCGAAGGCGTTGAGAAATTATCTTTGCAATTAACTTGTAATCAGCGTTTAATGATGAAAACGGCCTGCGGTTCTTAAGATTTTCCGGTTCCTTTTTCTTAAAATAACAAAACTGAACTAAAGGGAACTCGCCTTTATCCAGACACGTATTGACCATTATATATTAATCTATAAAGTCACTTTTCAGTATTTCCTCAAAACAAACGTAAAATTTAATTTTTTCGGGAAACTATCAGAGTCCGGCGTTCGAAGTGCCAACATTGCATGAAGGGCAGCTAGACATTCCTTCTCCCAGGAACGCTTCGAGGCATAACATTAGATAAGATAAGATCACTTTATTTTAGCAGGGTGGCCCATTCAGCACTAAGCTGGTATCCATAGGGGCCCTGCGTATATAAATATATCTATTTACACAATAAGAAAATATAATAAACTAAATTAGTAGTAGTACATATATAAAATGTAAGTATATAATACAATGTATAATTATAAAAACCTAATTGTACAATGAGTATTAATTAAGAAAAACTGTGTCTTTGTATAAGAGACTTGAAATTAGACAAGGTCCCTGCCTTTTTAATTCGATTTGGAAGATTGTTATAAAGCAGTGATCCCGAGTATATAAAAGATGCCTTGCCCAGACTAAGATTTGGTTTAGGTAAGTGCAAATCATCTTTCCTTCTAGTATTATAAGAATGAATATTTGAATTTTTTACAAAATATCCACTTAAATATTTTGGGACGAAATTGTTCAAACATTTAAATACTAAAACACACTTGTGAATTTGTCTACGAGTAGATAAATCTACCCAATTTAAAATGTCAAACGTATTTCTGCAGGTTTCTCGTTGTAATATTATTCGCGCTGCACGGTTTTTCAGTTTTTGGAGGCTTTGAGAACACCCAGCAAGCAGCTCGGACCATACAGCATCAGCGTAGTCAAAAATAGGTTACACCACTGAATTGTAAACACATTTAGATGCCTCAATTGTCAAGCAAGACCGTATTCGCAAAAGTAGACCTAATCGCTTGCTCACTTTGTTGCAGATCTCTTCCGTATGTTCCTTCCATGATATTTGTTCATCTAGCATTACGCCTAAGTAACTAAACTTTGGCACTTTTTCAACTAGTTTGCCTTGTAGTTGGATGGTAAAGTCTCCGAAACGACCAAGTTTATGTTTTGTTCCAAAAAGCATAACCTTAGTTTTGCTGTAATTTAAAACAAGTCTACTAGACGTCATCCATTGTGCAACACGATCTAGATCATTTTGAAGGGTTTCCATTATCTCATTGGTATCAGAACCAGAAAAATAAATTACTGTGTCATCGGCGTACATACTGATTGAACAGCTTAATAGACATTTTGGCAGGTCATTTATGTGTAAGACAAATAATAACGGTCCAAGCACAGATCCCTGGGGAACGCCATAATTCAACACTCGGCTAGGAGATAGTTCGTTTGCATAATTTACTCTTTGTGTCCGGTTTGTAAGGTAATTCCGAAACCAGCTTATGGTCTGACCTCTAATTCCATAGTGTTCCAACTTGTAAAAAAGGCATTCATGATCGACAAGATCAAACGCCTTTTTGTGATCAACAAACACTGCACCTGTCACTTGCTGCTTATCCATATGTTGCAATATATGGTCAACAACATGGATAAAAGCAGTTTCAGTGGAATGATTCTTACGGAATCCTGATTGATGTACGGATAAGACGTTATTCTCTGTAAGAAATGCCACAAGCTGGGTTTGGATTGAACGTTCAATTATCTTGGAGATCAAAAGGAGAACTGGGATAGGTCTAAAATTGTTCTCTTCATTTCTTTTGCCCGATTTAAAAATAGGTATAACCTTTGCCTCCTTCCATTCCAAAGGAATTTCTCCGCTTCTGATTGTGAAGTTGATAAGATGGCGCAATTGGCTTGGCAATCACACTGGCACCATCCTTTAGCAGTTTTGCAGGAATCCCATCGAGACCAGTAGCTTTACTGCCTTTCAACTTCCGCAGTTCATTATGGACAAAGCTTGAGCTCACATCATTTAGAGCAAAATCTTGGTTGACTCTAGGGGTCATAATGAGTGGCAACAGAGTATTTCTGAAATGCTTACATATAAAGTACTGGCAATTTGAGTGAAATACTGGTTGAATGCAGTCGCTGTAAGATTTTGGTAGCGTGTGGAAGTAGCGTTCTTTTTCTTTGGCAAAAGGTCATTCAATGTCCTCCACATTTGTTTGGAATCTTGTTTTACAGTTAACTGAGAGGAGTAATAAATACTTTTTTCTTTCCGTAATTTCCCTGTAACAGCATTGCGTAGCCTTTTATAGTTGCTCCAATAGATCTCTTGATTTGTCTTTATTGCTTTCTTGTGGTAATAATTGCGCTCCTTCATTAGGTTCTTTACTTCGCGAGTAATCCAGGGTAGGGATCTTCCACGTACACGGCGGGTACTAACTGGTGCGTGACTATCTGCTACTGTTTTAAATAAATCTTTAAACGAATTCCATGCTTCTTCAGGATTTGGTTCCATCTCTAATATATTTCCCAAGGTACATAGCTTAAATCTGTTTTAAACAGTTCAGAGTCATAATTCTTATAGTTCCGAACTTCGACAGTCTTTGGCGGCATAGGCTTTATTCTGTGGAGTTTCCTAACTCCAACAATGGCGATGTGATCAGAGAAACCGATATGTATGACTCCAGACAAATATAATTCAGGTCTAGATGTAAGAAAATAGGTCAATTAACGTTTTGAAATGTTATTGTGAACGTGGTAATTATCTGTTTAAGACAATAGATCCTGGTCACGCGTTGAGGGTTTTTGGTTGTTGACGACATACTTGGGGCAGCATAATCAAAGTTGAAATCACCCAGCAAAATGCAAATGTGTACTCCTCCCGGACAATGCAAAGGTGTACTCCTCCTGCGCACGAGCCTCCATAGTAATTTTAAACAGCTTTCTCTTGTCTTCAAGTTGGCTGTAATAGGTATGCTGGCAATGAGAATACAATATGTGAGTGCATGTAAAAAAGAATACTAGTCTTATGCAGTTGTAATGCTGTTTTTATAGAGTCTGCAGTAACTATACAATCATTTAGACTCATTTAATTCTATATATTATAAGGTTTATTTTAAATGCAATCCGATCCCAGCTAGTCACATTTGGCATTCATGATCCCACTGGATGCATTATAAACTCTGAGTGTTTACAGTAAATGGATGACTCTACCTTTATTCGGCCAAGGTAGGATCCCATTGTTTGTTGCCGGAATTCCACCTGCCAAGACAAGATATTCTCATATAAGCACTCAATCATCCCTGCCAGGCGGGGTGTATTCCGTCTATATAAACCCACCATGCTGTTTTGTATAGGTAATAGCATGGTTTCGAGTGCAATTTGGATATAACATGCACGAGTGAGTTTTTTACAGACCTCAAAATAGCACGAGACCGAAGGACGAGTGCTATTTGAGGTCTTTGAAAAACTCACGAGTGCATGTTTATCCAAATTTCACGAGAAACCATGCCATCACTTATTAATAATTTACTTAAAAATATTCTAGACAATTGTAGTTTTAACTTTATACGCTTTTATATCGAGCATTCCACAGGCAAAGTTTTCCTGGCTTTGTTATATCACATTATACAACGCTAACAGTTTGAAAATTCCACTCAACTACGTAATTTTTGTTAGTCTTGTTTAAGGTAAATGCTTTTCCATTTAAAAATAAAGATAAAAGCAATATTTTTCACGCGAAGGCAACTTTTACTTTATGTAGCGCGACGCCATGTTTGTTTTGTTTTGAAGCAATCTGTGACCGTTACTTCTTTAAACTAAATTGCTTTAAACTGATTGCATGGTTGATTTAATCATCACAATGTTTTTCCACCAATCAGATCAGTTTGTTACAGATTTTTGCACTGTGACATGACTGTGATTACAGAAAATTGCACTGTGATTACAAAAAATTGCACTGCACAGTCGAGTAATATCTTTATGTATATTATTAATATAAATACACCACTCTAACCAAGTCTCTCAGCAAGGCTGGATTAAAACATCCTGTCCACTGCCATTCTGTTATCACATAAATAAGCACGTCCAATATATAAACTCCTTCAAGATCATCATGTTTATACTTTTACCATATTGTGGAAAGCGCTAAGACATATGTCCGTATTCTACAAGCTCACTCGCACACAAATGAGTGGAAGTTAAATCTGAACTTCTCTCGAGTGTCATTGTTGTTTCTCAATACGAGCAGTATTAGTGTCGTACCTTACTATGCGACTACTTACCCTCTGGCTATTCAAAAACAGCACTAACAGTGGCGTGCTGGGTATTATTTTTCAACATGGGTACCTACGATGTAAGGCTTCATAGACGACGGCCGAAGGTACGGGTCGAGCACAGTTTTCCTAGGTAGGGTCCGGGGGCATCCCCCCCCCGAAAAAAATTATTAACGTTACGAATTATTAATGTTACGAATTTATTGAGTCGGGAATCCAGAAAGGTTTTTGGCCTGGAATTTCGGGGACTATTAAACATACGGAGTTATTATCACATATTATTAACCATGCCAGAAATAAGCAAAGATCTCTTGTAGTTACTTTAATTGATCTGAAAAATGCCTTTGGTGAGGTACATCATAAACTTATACAAACTATCTTGATAGCTCATCACATTCCTGAATAAATTATATGCTTTGTTGAGAATCTCTACTCTGTTTCATTACGAAACCAATTCCAGTGCAACGAGGCGTGTTACAAGGTGATTGTTTATCACCCTTGTTATTTAATCTTTGTGTAAATTCTTTGATTCACACAATAAACGACGCGAAATTAAAATGTCTCGGCTATGTAAAGCCCGCCGCACACGAGAGCTACTTGCTGAGCTAACCGCCTCGCGAGGCGGTTAGCTCAGCAAGTAGCTCTCGTGTGCGGATAGTTTTCGTGAGGATTTGACCTCTCGAGGCCTTGAGGAAAATATCTATCGTGTTTGATATTTTTCGCCTCGCGAGGAGAAAATCTCAGCGTCTGCGGATGTTGTGAGCTAAGTGCTGAGCAGTTTGAATCAATTAGCCAATGACAAACCATGGTTTCTTCATGTGACTTGGAACAAAATAGAGGAAAATGCAAATGATTTTGTCAATTGTGTTGTTGTTGAGTAGTTTTCCCAACGTGTGCGGTGAAAATACATAGCTGAGCTAATCGCCTCGCGAGGCTGTTTGCTCAGCAGATAGCTCTCGTGTGCGGCGGGCTTAAATAACGCAACGATGTACCCCAGGCACTGGTTCCAATTTGCGGATGACACAGCAATATTAAGTGCACATGAAGAGGACAATCAATTGCTTTGTAATGTATTTAATAAATGGTCAACGTGGGCGGATTTGCATATTCGTGTTGAGAAATGTCATACTTTTGGAATCAAGAAGCAATCCTCAAAAGCAATTCAATACCAGCCAGTTATTATTATCTCGGGCAAGATAGTGGCAATATCACTCATCTAAAACTGCCAAAATCATATCTAGGGATTGACTTTTGCTCTGCTTCAGATATATATTTACAATGCAAACTTTCGGTTAGGCGCATATTGAAAACATCTAGAAACAGTGATATTCAACATCTGTATTTTGTAACATCTTCCAAAAATATTAATACCGATGAAATAATTGAGAAAGTATCATCAAATGTAACAAATGGATACGAACTGAAAACCGGAACAAAGAAGTTATTGAAACAGCAAAGTACAAATGATATTTGGGCAAATTTTATTACGCTAAAGGAACAAAGTATTACTATAAACTATCTAACTGAAGCTTGCATGCAACAAGAAAATACTGCCATGGCCAGAAATTCAGGACATGCGCCCGCAATATATCTCAGCGGTTTTTCCTCTGAATAGTTATTCATTCCTAACAAACGCAAGTTTTAACTAAAAAAATACATTTTGCTTAGTTTTTTGTTTAACTAAAGCAGAAAAATAGATACCGGTATAATAGGTACCATCGACCTTTTACATACCTTTCATTTATTATGATGGGATATAAAGTGATGCGCATGGTAAACGATTCAAATATTTTGTGTATACATCGCTATCCCTCTGTGTAACCCGCACTGGAAGAAAGCCTGGTTCCTAAGCTTCTTGTTGATATCAAACATGGACGACAATTCATTAAACATCGTTCTTCTTGCAATGTTTTACGGTCTATGGACAGGGTATTTATGGGTAAAATATCAACATTTTGTCCCGTAAATTGGAACAAGTTAAAAAATTCGTATCACTATGAAATTACGCAGACAAGCAGGGGACAACATATATTTTACGACGCGAAGT